CGATAGCGGGCTTGAAACTCTCTTACAAAATGATCCTATAGGCAGTATTCATTTTGGGTAGCGAATCACGTTGATACGAGCAATAAAGCGTTTTATAACCACAGCCGGGCGTCACACAATACGACTTCCGTAACGGCTGGTATGGTGAATGCTCCTACCCCTTACAAAAACATGTAGCATAGTTCTTCACGTTCGTAAGCCACAGCTTCAACAAAAATTCATCAGCCACAGCACCAACAAAATATTTTCTTACAAGTCTGTAGTGAGTACCCCGGTTCTCCGAACACTTGCATAGTGAATGGCTTCATACTAGACAAACAATATGATGATTTATGGCACTGTGAGTATCCTGCAAGTGTGCTTGGTGCAGTTGCTAAAAAAGTGTTTAAATACCGCTCCAGAAATGCCGCTCTTGCACCATTCACTCTGACTGCACTTTCCGTGTATTGATATTATAAACTGGAATTTAAAAAAACAACCTGAATTCTTCGCTCCTGTTTTCCCATATCTGAAATGCTCACTGTAATTATTCGAACCATGTGTGTCCGCAAAAAACACAAGCAGTAAGCAAATCAACTATAGCACATGAGTAACCAAGTCACTACAGCATCACTGTAAGTTTTTCTGGATGAGAAGTTCTCCTCGCGTTATGATTTTCTTATAAAGCTGAACTGATAGCCAGGCTAGTTGTTCCGTATTCATGTTTATTTCGTCAATGAGTGTTTCTTCGTGGGAAGGTATCACAAGTAAAAAAATGGTAGCCGTGGTAATCCTATATTACACTTTGTAGCTATAGGTTACTTAAATGTTAGCACTCCATCACTGCCTCGCTTTATTACAAACGCTTCTTACAGCCTCTTTAAAAATGTGGCTCCTGCCTATAGTTAACAATTCCGAAAAATGTCACCAACGGATAAACCGTACGGTTTTTTTTTTTTTTGAGTAAGGCAAGAACTATTTTACTGCTGACAGTTGACGATAAAAGGCTGGTCTTCCACATTTTTTTTTCAGTCAATCGCCCTGAATGCCAGGGATTAATAAGGAACCGTAGATTAGGTTTTCTGCCCGCTTGTTTGACTATGGAAAAATTATACAGTACTTCTTATCAGCTTCTTAAATGCAGCACTTTGCATTTTAGACTGATGAGGTGGTTGGGGGCAAATGGCCACGGCTTATTTAAAAAGGACACTAAAGATAAAAAACGATTTATGCCTAACAGTTAAGTAAACATTCGCGATCCCGCAATTAAGTTTTTTAACCCGACACACCACTTAGTAAACAAAAGGACTTGCAAAAACAAAATGTGGCTGGCGACGCCGCCTTGATATTCCCGTACCAAGCACAGCGACGTAAGACATTTCAAAAGCATCTAGTGGGTTCTACGTAGCTTCGAGCGAATAAAACTGAAGCACATTATGTTCTGTGGGGGCCATAGAATTAGCATACGAAGTTTCAGAAAAGAATTGATGGAGCCAATGCCACGAAAATACTGAAGTCAACATTAAAAATTTCCGACGTCACACGCGGATATCTTGGCACGAAATTTAAATACGAAACTTCAATCTTGATTTTCTTCGCTAATAATGAACTTATAATAGTGAGACATATGACATTAGAGCTGTCAGAGTGAAGTTTATGAATCAAATTCAAGTCATTTTGCCTTTTTACTGTCCTTTTAATGTCAATGTCGCTTGAACATGACTGCGTTGGCGAATTTCACTGAATATCCGCCATCTCCATGCTAGCGATGCTTTTCATGACAACGCGTATTTTCCAGTTTCTGAATGGCATCGCCCATAACGGCCCAATGAACTCAACAATATCACTTGTATATAGAGGGCAAGAACGCTTTATACCTGGTAAGCAGACATTCGCATCCAGTCAAGTACGCAGGGCCCCCGTTTGTAATACTGTATGATAATGCGTTGAAATAACTGCGTCAAAAAGCTAATCATGTTGCCTGATTGTGTACGTTGAAGCCTCAGTTAGTTCTCGAGCACTTTGCTACGAGAACAAAGTGTGTACAGGTTCCTACATATATGGGAGCCAACTGCAAAAATATTTTGTTTGCAAAAACATAAAATGATTTGCTAAAACAAGTCCTTTCTGTGTGGAAGGTAGGTTGCTAATAAACGAATGATTTAGAGCATTTTACTAGAGACACATTATTGTTCAGTTAACAGCTAAACAATCACCTAGTCTTACTCGTTAGCAAATTAATCACCACCTGTACACACTGATTTGCGCGACATACGACAAATTATTCATCGCGCATTGTACGATGGATAGTCACCGTTCAAATTATACCCCCTCACAAAGTGTTTCTTTCCACAAAAAGAGACGCAGCTTAGAGTATACCATTTCTATTTAGGCCTCTTCAGAGATGGCACTGCATATTTTCGGCGTGAATACTACTCTCTTTTGGCAAAGAAATATTATGGGACGACTCAATTCAGGAAGAAACGATTCTTCAATAATGTGTTTTTCGAGCCATGCTATTGTGCTTCTCAAAAAATTTCACATGAGCAGTACGTTGGTCGAATTCGTTTTCTTTTTCGCAGAAGCATTCATGCGGAGAACTTTTCTTTTCAGATTGATTGATTGATTGATTGATTGATTGATTGATACGTGGAGTTTAACGCCCCAAAACCACTATAAGATTATGAGAGACAACGTAGTGGAGGGCTCCGGAAATGTCGACCACCAGGGGTTCTTTAACGTGCACCACAATATGAGCACACGGGCCTACAACATTTCCGCCTTCATCAGAAATGCAGCCGCCACAGCCGCGATCTGAGCCCGCTTCAGATCAATAGCACCCAAATGTTCAAGCAAATTACAGCGGGTTGACATCAAGGTCGCGAAAGTTTGCGTGGAATGGCCCATATTACGATATTCTAAGTTATCGTATTTTTGCGGCAGTTAGTCACGCAGGTGCTACCTATTATTGGCTTTTCTAGTGAGGAAATTAAAATTTCAGTTTTTCGTATGAACAACCCTACATCTAAAAAGTACAGCTTTTTTTCTTGAGGACATTAAAAACACGACGTGAAAGAGTTTAGGGAAGCATCTCTTCATTTCTATGAGGGTCTTTGTGTGTTCGCATCACCAGCAAATCGCACAGGAGCACTCGAGTGAGCCATTTCGGCCAATCATCATCGCGTCTTGGCATTCGTCAAAGATACCATTTTCAATTCTGGTAAATGCAAGGAAGTATTCATGAGGCGTCGTTTGCATGGGGGTGCTAGCAAAGCGGTTGTAATAGCTGTGCTTGCTTAGTTCATTTACCTGATCGTAAACTGTGCAGTTTTTTTCGGCTGAAGGTATAAATATAAGCTTTCTAGCCATTGTTCGTGCAGCTTCAGCCTACGTTTTGGTATTCCTCACTTAAGCAAACACTGCATGTGAGCCTGAACCATTGTTTTTTTTTGTTCCGTTGTTGAACACAGGCTTTCTCCGCCACTAGTTACAAGTTTCTTCTTAGGAAACAGATGCCTGCGTCATACCTCCTGCCTTAGCTCTGTATTTGGCTTTTTTACTCAGTTCTGTAATACTGTTCCATGGACTACAGAGATATTGTAAAAATAGACATTTCGGGTTTTACATACAGTCTATTTTTACGATTGCGAATGGTATTCAATATGACCATCGAAGAATGGACTTTTGGAGCCTTTCTGAATCAAGATTGTACATACTATTAAATTGGGATTTTCGCTGTACATCAGCAGAATTATCATACCAAGAGATTCTAATGAGAAAATTTTAAAAATCTGCAAAACGACGTTTTTAACCACTTGGCCAATCCTCAGTGTTGTATTTTATATTGTATTTGCGCTAACTGACAACACGTGCGCCGATTTCTCTATCGGGGGCTGCAATAATTTTAATGGGCGGGGCCGCAATTCGGCGAAGCTATCTCAAGTCTCTGCACTCACGATGAAAAATTGACCGCGGTAACCGATCAGCTATCCAGGGATGCTAGCAGAGCATAGCGTGGCTTTTACGTCATGACACCATAGTACCGTGACGTATAGAGAAAGAAGAGGAGTTGAGAAAAATACAAACAAGAACAAGACAAACAGAATGTAACAGGAAAGAAAAAAAGTTGAAGAAAGAAGGAGAGAGAAAGAACACTAGAGCAAAACACAAAATTATATTAGGGGAAGTAAAGAAAGTAAGAGAGAAAAAGAGAGAGTGGCAAAGTATATCAGGAAATTGAAAAAAAAAGATTTTTTGGGCGAGAGAGAGTAATAAATGCTTGAGAGTGACAGAAAAAAATAGCAATTGAAATCAAAATACACAGAAATATCCATGGAAGAGCAAGAGAGAGAAAAAAAGAGAGACGTGCACTTTCGTAGGATGCGCAAGAGCTGCTGTGCAAATGCCTTTCACAATGTCTAATACACAAATTTTTCGGAATTTCCTACGATAAAACCCCTTTGGGTCATGAGAAGTAACTTCACAAATGAATGAAGGAAAAAAAAGAACGCCGCCTATCTTTTTACTTTTTTCAAGAATGGCCGCACTAGTGCAGAGCTATTGCAATATTTTCTTTCCTCTGATAAAAAATTCCTGCTGCTTCTATACTTTGTGAGAATCCCTTTTATGCATTGCATTCAATGAATAGCAGCCCATACCACATATTTTGTTTCTCTCGGACAAGTCCTGCAAGGTGTGTTATCACAAATCAGCAAAAATAAAGTTTATCATTCGCATTGTGGTTGATGCGAAAAAGTTTTGTGGGCTGCTATATAAATACTTTAAAGCTGCCCGGGCATGCTTTACTGTGTATGCAAGTGTGAACCAGTTTTACATCTCATTTTGTACTTTGAGACTCTGCATATTACCATTGTATAGCAATATATACTCATAGTAGAAATTCAATAGGAGTATTGTTGCGATATAACACATGTACCAAATCTTTCGGAAAGAAATTATTGTTTACTTCTGCCTTGTATAAAACGATGCGTGTAGAACACCTGAATACTTTTAGAGCCTGCTCTCGGAGTGGGATCAAAAATAAAATGACCTCAGTTAACACTCTCTTTAATGCCCTATATTTTGCTGCCCATGTGATCTTGCTACATAGCCAAATCGCCAATTTGCAGCCACAGGATGTTCCTGACATCACAAAGGTATACGTTCATAGTTTTTGTTGAAGTGATAACACGCTTAGTACCATCCGAAATTCAGCCAATTAACTATCTTCCAGTACAACTTGCCAGGGTTTCCTTTCTTTAGGATGTTATTTGTTTAGTTACACGGATCAAAATATTCCCGATTACTATGTTCTGCACATAGCTTTTTAGTGCACCCTAGCGATGGCGTAGTAGAAAACGCGACAGTAGCATCCACGAAAACAAATTCAACACAACTTCAGAACGCTGTTTTCGGAGAATTTCTTTGCTTAAAAGTTGCTTAAATTTCATTGCTTAAATTTTATTGCTTAAAAGATTTGCATTAAACAGTCACTGAGGTTAACTAATAATTTATCCAATGCCTAAGCCGTTGCCTTTTCGACAGAAGATTCAGTGGTTTGTGAAATGTCGGAGTCAAGACTAGAAATGTGGCGTACTGCTGCACCGGATCAGCCAAAAGCCCTGTTTTTAACTATATATAGCTTCCCTTCGCGAACAGCAGTGGCAGTCAATAATCTCTAGGATTTGTATTTACTGAGAGCAAGCAGAGCATTCGAAATGGCCTGCGGAGTGACTTCCTCAAAAAAGGCAGCACTTTTCTGATGTTGCTGAGCATCGACTTGAGGAGTGGCTTTCGCCGCGGACGCGGCAACGAAGATATGACTTGCATCCTCCCGCACTATATATATTTACGAATCTGCAGCAGTTTTTACATTGTACTGGACGAGAAGCGAGAGGCTCCACGCGAAACTTAAGAGGCCAGAGCCTTATTTCTGATGGGCAAGTGGTGTCCACAACTGTAGCAATGACAGATTCTGTTGTTATCTTATCGTTATTAATCAGGCGACTGTAACGGTAAACAAAAATTATGCCTGCTCCCGAAAGCCTGTCTAGGGAATAGACGCCCCTTACGAGGCCTTAAGCACACGAAAGGTGAAGCGGTGAGGCGGAATGAAAACACCCACTGGGGTTGACCCGAACGAGGTACGCTGAAGCACATCTGGCGCCTATAGGTCGGGTTCGGCGACCTACACCCATGTGACCTCGTCCAAATTGGTGCATGTCGGTGATGGTCTGAAAGCTGTTCGAGGTAGCTTTCAGTTTTTTTTTGTTTTTTTGGTTAAGCCTGGGGGTTCACGAGCCTGATGAAACCTTCATTTGTAGGCACTAGTGCGACAGGGTTGTTGCTGATTCCACTGCTAAAAAATAACTAACAGCAATTCGTTAGTTGACAGTGACGCTGACCAGACAGACCGCGCCTGGCCAGGACAATTGGTCAACATCAGCATGAAAGATAAGTGTAAATGGAAGAGGAAATAAAATCAACTAGAGACTGTAAAGTAACACTCAGAACTAAGTCCACTCAACACATAGCCAACAAACCCACAGTGAAGCCCAGCGACAGCAAGATAAAAAGATCAGCTCAAGTCAAATCAAGTCAAGAACCTAGACGATGTGGCGCATATTCATGCTGGGGGATTGGCCAAGAACCGAACTCTTTTCATGAATTTCTTCTTTATGAACAGGTTAAAATTGATCTATTTACGAGAAATAAAGGAAAGATGCTACAGGACGAATTTACTGGTTGAATTGTAAATAATCTGTAGTGTAATGCAATAAAGCAGCGCATTTTATCTAATGTAAATTTGGAAACGTCAAAATCTACCGAAGAATGATTTTAACACTTAAACATCTTTAACCTTTTGACGAACTCCTGCACTGCGTCAGCAATCTTCTCGTCGCTGTGGCCAAGAGACAAAGCCCCGAAAGAAAGCACATTTTGAGCATTTAAATTAATTCCGAGAAGGTGGCAAACGGCACCTGAAGTGTATTTAGGTAATTCAGAGAGTTACAATGAATGAGGTAGTGCTCAGTTGACTCATTTATTCCACAAGCAGGACAATAGGAGGAGGCTGCCAGACCAGCTTTGTGTTGATAGAAATTTAGCTGTGGAATTTGACAGCGCCGTCTGGTGATTGCGACTTCCATTTGCTACTCCAGTTGTATAACAAGTGCTTTAATTCTGGTGTGGCTTTAAGGGAAGGTGTAGGAAATTCCTGTAACAGCAGTTTTCTCGTTTATTTAGCGCCTATTCAGAGTTTTGATGCCAGTAATACCTCAATAACAGGCTCATATAAAGGTGACTTTGCCAGTGCATCTGCCATTTCATTCATATAAATGCCCTTATGTCCTAAAACCCAGACCGATTTGATCAGATGTAGATGCGAGGAAACCAATGCTTTGAAAGGACTCTGAGCATGCGAGTTCTCATCTACAGTAAGGGAGGCACACACTGATAGTGAATCCGTTGATATTACTGCGGACCTTACTGAAGCAGTTATTTTACGGAGAGCTATAGTAATCGCGAAAAATACTGCTTCAACTATGGACACACAATCTGGAAGGCGAAGCGAAAAGGACCAGTCTAGGGCAGGAGGAAAAATACCCATTCCACATTTTGTTCTGTTTGTGACACATCAGTTGCTATGACTGCTTGTGTTGGCGTATCTGCAGGCAATCTCCTAATATACCTTCTAAAACTGAACGGCATCAATTTGAATTTTTCGGAAATATATTATCAAACTGTAATTTATTAGCATTTTAATAATACTGATTAAAGAAATAGCATTACTTTAACGTCTAAATTATCTAGAATGTGCTATATAACCAAACTTTTGGGGTATACGGCATCTAGACCAGTATTGTCCAGCAGGACGGTCATTAAAAACTGTTTCTAGGCATCTTACCAGCGATTCATACAGCCGGAGAAATGCCTGTGTAGCAAACAATTTAAAACAATTAGCAAGTGAGGGAAGCCTAGATTCCAGATACAAGATCTTGATTGAACAAACTTCGGGGACCGAAGCGTAGTCTCAATTGGCTTGTCTCTCTAAGACTACCAAAGGGTGCATCTTGTAGGCAGGTGCCCCCGCGTATACCAAGCACCGAAACTCAAGCACCGGGCGAATATACATACAATACACTGAGATAAGAGTATTTTTCCGCATACCTAACTGACTGTTACTGATCTTGCTTAATATTCCCACCGCACGACCCCATTTGCTGCAATGTACTCAATGTGTGTCTTCCCAGACATTATTTGGCCATAGATCACCCCCAGATATTTCACATTCACTACTTGAGGGATAGGATCCAGCTGATAGGAGAGCAAATTGTGAAAAGAGTTTTTGGGTGAAAACGTTGATTGATTGATTGATATATAGAGATTAACGTCCCGAAATCACCATATGATTATGAGAGATGTAGTGGAGGGCTCCGGAAGTTTTGACCACCTGGGGTTCTTTGACGTGCGCCCAAATCTGAGCAAACGGGCTTACAACATTTCCGCCTCCATCGAAAATGCAGCCACCGCAGCCGGGATTCGATCCTGCGACCTGCAGGTCAGTAGCCGAGTACCTTAGCCACTAGAGCACCGCGGCGGGGCATTTTAAGCCGATTCAAAAAATAAAAAAAGAGTTTTTCTAGCTTTTAATGAAGCAATTGAAAAAACAAACGTGGCAAAATGTTCCACATCGGACACCCAACAACTTCCACGGTCTAACTGAAAGTTGTTATGGGGCCTGGTGAGTAGCCCTTTATGGGAAATGGTGACTTTGCGTATGACCAATTAAGTTGCCAACCCCTGGTGTATTTGGTCACGTAACTTCAGCGCGGCTATTTCAAAAATATATGGCTTCACTGAACGCTTTTATGATGATGTCTTGTTTCAGAACTATCTTTATTGAAATACTACCAGTATCGCATTCATAAGCTCGTTATGAGGGGCAAGAGAGGTCTCCTTTGTCGTAGATGATTGTTCGTAGGACGCAGGTAAGACTGCTGGTGTGCTGGCCGCCTTGTCTCTTGACGGATGATGATCTCTGAAGAGCTCATCCCATCCTTGAGTTAATGATGATTGAGGCTCTGTTATCGGTATTACTTCAAACTTCGCTGTCCTTTAGCATCAGTTTTTTCAATCGGTGAGATCCAATTAGGTAGCCGACTTCAGTTTGGCAGTTCACGCTTCGGAAACTATCTGCATCTACCAAGGGCTTGTATTCTTCAGAGATAGCTTCATGTAGAATGCTCGTGCTTTGCTGTTGGAATGGTGTGCCTGGCGCCCAATTCACTGTGAATTACTCTCGCTGCATACCCGTCATTGCATGGCCCATGGTGAGTGGTTATAAGCCAAAGGAGAACAGGGGAAAAGATTTCATGGCATATACGACAAGTATTTCAAATCACTGATGTGACCTAATCGCGCTCAAGAAACACTGGCATAGGGTCATGCAGATGTTACTATGTACTAAGTCAGAGAGCCAGCGCCGACAGCATAGCGATTGATAGAGAGATGGATAGATAGATAGCAAAAAGACAAAAGAAAGGAAAGAAGGAAGGAAGGAAGGAAGGAAAAAAGGAAGGAAGGAAGGAACTAAGGAAGGAAAGAAGGAAGGAAGGAAGGAAGGAAGAAAGGAAGGAAGGAAGAAAGAAAGGAAGGAAGGAAGGAGGGAAGGAAGGAAGGAAGGAAGGAAGGAAGGAAGGAAGGATGAAGGAAGGAAGGAAGGAAGGAAGGAAGGAAGGAAGGAAGGAAGCTGTACAGCAAGACTCTGGCTTCGTTGTCAACTCCTAAAAAGGCAGCATATCCACCGGATGAATGATGGAGAGTGGGGCGAAGCATCCGTCCGTCCTTTCGTTCTTGCTTCCGTCTGTCCAAGTGTTCGTCTGTGTGATCGTCCGTGCGTGCGTCTGTTCGTGCAACCGCACGTCCATCCGTGCGTCCGTCCATGCGTCCATCTGTCCGTGCAGCCATTCATGCGTCCGTCCTTGCGTCCATCTGTCCGTGCAGCCATTCATGCTTCCGTCCATGCATCTGTTTGTGTGTCCATTTGTACATCTAGTCAACACTCCAAGTACCATCATCTCGCATCTTTTCATCATATATTCCACATATAGAGCACCGCCATCCACTGGACATTTCAAGGACTAAACGAGAGGTG